TGGGTGTCGGCTCCACCGTCACCACAAAACACACACCGGAGAGGAAAAACACTCCGGCACTCGGATAATGGAGCCGCAGACAATGGACCAGTGTGTGTGTGTGTGTGTGTGTGTGTGTGTGTGTGTGCAGGAATCCAGCCTCAGTTGCTTTTCCTCCTCTTTGTTTGAAGCTTTCAATGGATCTGCAGCGATACACAGCAATTTCCCGCCAGAAAAGAAAAACAGACTTTTGGTGCGGCGGCGGCAGGATAATTATGTGGAGCTGTTTTCAGAGGGTTGACGTGAGACTGAAGGAAGGAGGAGAGGAACCCTGAACACAGCGAGGTCAGAGCCGATGGAGGCCTGGAGGTTGAGTCCTGCAGCGACTAGACCTGGACAAACATCCGAGTCTCTGTGGTTTGACCTGTTGGACGTTCACCAACAGATGAACATCCAGGAAGCAGGACTCACTGGTCTAAACCCAGGAGCCACTCACACCAGGTCCGGTCGGGTTATCGAGGCAACAGGACCGGCTGTGGAGGATCTCATTGTCACTGGTTTGTTAGAACTCTGCACCACTTCCAGGTCGTCCATCACTGCGGACACACCTCCTCCATGTTTACCGTCCAGGAGGGACACAGAGTCAGATCCAAATAAATGAAACCAGAACCGCAGGAAAACTGGTTCTAGATGAGGCACCAGCAAAGGAAACAAGCAGCAGCTACGTTTCTCTGCAACAACGCAGCTTCACATCGAGGCCAGAACCATTCGAGTCCCACGATGAACAGAACTTATCAGAGTGTTTACTGACTTGTTAGAAGTTTGCAACGCTGACGAGTCATCGACTGACACAGAGACGACATCCAGGAGGGACAGAAGGTCAGATTCAGGCCCAATGAAGGAGAGTCTCAGGCTGGTTTGGTCTCACCTCCAACCAGCCCATAAACGGTTCTTTACAGGAAAACTGGTTGCGGAGCGGCACCGACACTTTGCTGGTTTAAGACCAAGAGTCAAGCAGAAGCTTTGGACCAACAAGACCAACACAAAGAAACACTTGAATCAAGCATCAACAAACAGTGATGAAGCTTCTCAGCATCACGTCGGAGCTGGAACCATCTGGGTCTCTGGTTGGAGGAACCTCCAAATGATCACAGAGGAAACTCTTCATTAAAGACACCAGGACTCATCTTCTCACCAGAACTTGAGATTAACCTGGTTCCTCTGGTCCAAGTCTCAGCAGGTGTTTTACCTGGATGAGTCGTACAAACTGAAGATCCGGAGCCTGATCAGGCACCAACACCTCCTACGTCAGGTCCAGCCTCATCTTAAACCAGCTTTTCATAAGAACCAGGTCTCACGAAGAACATCAGACACTTTGGACCGGATGATTGGGACCTTTACCATCACATCCGAGCTGGAACCATTTGAGTCCATCCGTCTGACTAACCTCTGATGTGTTTGTCCATCGTCATCATGCATCGCTGCAGAAACACCTCTTCCATGTGAGATCCAGGCTACCTGAAGGCTGGAGGCCAGAGTCTCATCCCTCCATGATGTCGATGTCCAATCAGCTGTTTCCACAGTGACACCAGCACATTTAGTTGATCTGTGACCAAGAGCTTCTCACATCCTGAGCTGTGGCACCAAGACCAGCTGGAGACAGTGGAGGAAACTTAAAGAGACGCTTGAAGGACATGGAGGCTGGAAGCAGAGCGACTCTTTGGTCTCCAGAGTTTCATTAATCACTGACTCGTCGTAAAGCTGCTCCAGTCCAGCTGCATCCTCCATTGCTGTAGAGACAAAGTCCATGTTTAAAACATCTCTGACCTGGATTCAGTCCAGCTGGATGGAGTCGGTGACGAGAAGACGTTTGCCAACCACAGTCAGACTTTCACCTCCTACCAGGAAGGACCTGCAGCGTTTCTCTGGGACACGAAGGTGCAGAAGTTTGGTGTTTGTGTGGTTTCGCCTCCAGTCTGTATCACATTCTGATCTGCACGTTGATGTTCTGCAGCAGCAGCAGAACCAATCATCTACCAGAGCTGATGTGAAGACGTCGCTGCAGAACCTGCCTGAAGCAGTGAAACCTGGAGCTGCTGCACAGTCAGCTGATGGATGAAAGCAGATTAAATCAGCTCATCAACAGGTTCCGCTTCAGGTTCTTTCTGTGTGCTGCTGTTGAGTTAGTAAAAGGTTCGTGGAAACACGTCCCTTCATTTTCATCTAATGACACTGAGCTTCAAGAAAAAGAAAAAAAAAACAAATAAACTGAGCAGCAGCTCCTGGATCATGGTCCTTCACTGAGGTTCATGTTAAAGTCCTGCAGCTCTGAGGAACCAGAAGATGAAGGAGGAGAGAGAACCCAGAGACGTCTTCTGTCAGCAGGACTCAGAACGAAGGAGACCAGAGAGGAGGAACGTTTGTCTGACCATTTATTCCACAACTATGCATAAAAGTGTCTGAACCATCCGGCTCTGTTTGTACGGCGCGTTGCATAGAACAGAACAAAACCTGGTGAAGGCCACAGAATCCAGAGTTTTAAATAAATTAGTTACAATTGAAAATAAACAATTAAAAATAGCAGGAAAGCAGAAAAGAGATGGAAGCAGGTGTTTAAGGTGAGGTAACCGGAACCCGCTGTGATCAGCAGGTCTGGGCTGCAGGTCTCCAGATGAGGAGCTTCAGCTGACCTGCAGCAGCGTCTCCACAGAGCAGAGAGGACACAAGGTTTCTTTATTTTTATCAGTGAACAAACATATACAGGACAAAACAAACAGGAAGCTGGGATCAGGTTTTCAGAGCTACATCATACAGAGTGAAACACAGGGGGCGCTACACAGTGAACAAAGTCTTTTTAAATGCTGCTGTTGTATAGCACAGATGTTTACGTCAATCCAGGAACGGCTTCCATGTTCGTTCAGAGGCATTAGTTTTATAACATAGGAGACACGTCAGAGTCCACAGCTACATGTTCTGTTCTGGTTCTGTGCCATCGCTCCATTGAGCGGCTTCAGAAACTCATTTTACCAAATGTTTGCGTTTGTCCTCGGCACCGTCAGGTCCGTGTTCAGTTCTGGTAGTAGGATGGTATTTTACCTGTTTGAGGTTGGTCGACGTTTTAAAATCCTCTCACAGTCTCCAAGAACACTGTCAACACGAATAATTCACCGAAAGAACGGAGGTTATTGCTGGTAATCAGTCGATCGATCAATATGTCAGACTTGAACTGCAGTTTTTGTCCAAATGAAATGTAGCACAAAGTGATTTATGCCACAAAAGTAAAGAAGATGATAAACTATTCATGTTAATGTCTGATCTGTTGGCGCCGCCTGCTGGTGGCTCACAGGAACAGCAGCTGCACAGTCTTCAGTTGTCACCTTCAACAGATGTCACATAAACTCACCTCTCTGGATATTTATGATGAAAATGATGCTGGAAGCAGAACTTTTAACTTTTAGGCTCAAAAGCAGACGTTTGTGGGACTTTGTAGAATTTCAGTGATTATAGAAGAAACTAAACTAAAAGGAGTTCAGTGGTTCGTTAAATACATCTGCATGATTTAATAAAAAACATCTTATTTACTGATTCATATCAACATTTTAACAAGCTTTTGATGGCTGACATCATAATGTTGGATCAACTTAATATTT